AAGATCTAGGCACCGGTGGATTTGGTGTCTGGTGAGGGCTGCTCTCTGCTTCTTAGAAGGTGCCTTCTTGTTGGAGCACCTCATAGAAGAGGCAAGCAGGCTCCCTAAAACCTGTTTATAATGGCACAGATCCCATTCCGGAGGTTCCAAAGCTCTTGTGATCTGGTCAGTTCCTAAAGACCCCATCTCTTATTATATCATATAGGGATTAAGTTCCAGCATATGCATTTTGTGGTGTGTGTGTGTGTGTGTGTGTGTGTGTGTGTACACAAAATAACCAAAACTAAACATTATAAAATATTAATACTTATATCAACATCACATCATGAACTACTTAGGGAGAAAGCTGACAGAAGATATATAAGACCTAACATAATAATAAACATGGTTAATATTATTCACCATCATAAAAATTCACACTAGAAAGGAATCTAAAAATACATTACATGTGGCAGTGTTTCAAGTTAATGGTTGGCTCAGAAGGATTTATTCTGTCAATATTTTATTCAGTGCTTATTTAATGTCAAATATATTTTACTCTGGGTAAATAAAAGATGCTGTTCTAATCTTGAGGAGATATTATCTAACAGGGAAAATAAGACATAAAAAGTCAACGAGCTCTCTCCCCCTCTCCGCTCTCTCTCTCCCCTCTCCCCTCTCTGTCTCTCCCCTCTCCCCTCTCCTTCTCTCCCCCTCTTCCCTCTCTCTCTCTCCCCCCTTCTCTTCTGCAACTGGCCGCTATGTTCCTGCTAATAAAATCTGGACAGGTAAACGGTTGTTTCGGCTTGTTGAGTTTACAGAGATTTTTCCGCCGTTCCTACACTGGTGCTGAAACCAGGATGGGGATCCCCCTCCCTCAAGGGGGAATCCCATTCCCAAACTCGGAGCCCAACCATTCCTGTCGCAGTCCACTCCTCTGATCGCCTGCCTGACATCCACCACTGGCCTGCGGATTGGTTAGAACCGGCGGCATGCCCTCCAGAGGACAATCCCACCACAGCTCCCAACCTGGCAGGACCCCCACAACTGCCCAGATTTACCTTTCCTCCTCAGAGATTACCAGCTACTTGCCAACAAGCCGGACGACACTCACGTCCACTCATCCCAAGAAACCTCCACCAAGTGCTGAAAGATGAAGATACCGAATGACAACTCCACCGAAGGGCCATCTCTGTCTACCCCACCATGCCAAAGAAATAAGCTCTTGGTTTTCAGCTTTGTATGTTCTAACCTGCCTTTTCCTGGGCATAGGCCTTTTTCTACCAGCCCTACAGACTGGATGACATGCCAGAAATTAATGCTGTTTCTTTTCATAGCTGCAGGGCACGTTCATGGACTTCTCCCTGGAGGAAATCCATGCCTTCAACACATGGATATGGGGCCTCCTGGCCTCCTTCTCCAACCAACTGACCTTCCTCCCTCCCTCTAAACGACGCCCCTATTCAGCAGGAAGTAGCCAGATGGAGTACGGTGTCCCCAAACCAAAACAAAAAAGGGAGGGAGGAATTTTGGCAAAGATGGCGCCCAGAGCGCTTCTCTTCCGGGAGCTCAGGTCCATGGCACACTGAATGGCGCGAACCATCACCTCCAATCCCTGTGAATGGTGCGAACTTTGAATGGCGCACCTCCAATCCCTGAAGTGGCACAAACTCTCGGCCAATAAAGAAGTAACAGCCATCCCCCACCCCAAAAGTCAACGAATACCAATAATTTAGAAATTGTAATTAGTGCTAAGAAAATGGGGGTGCCACTCTTATAGGACAATCATAAAAATCTATGTGGACACTGAGGTCAGAACCTGAGTTACAAAAGGAACCACTCAGACAAGGGAAACATCATAGCTTAGGGAACAGCATTGGAGCCTTGCATGGTGTTACCTGCTTGTGATCCCAACAGGTCAGGAGGTTGAGGTAGGAGGATGGTTAGTTAGAGGCCAGTCTCAGCAACTTAGTGAGAATCTGTCTCAAAATAAAAAATAGGAAGGGTAGGATGTGGTTAAGCACCCCTGGGTTCAATGGGCAGGGGTTGGAGGTAAGCACTGGGATAGCCCTGGATGGGCAATAAGAGGTTGAAGGTGGGCAGGGGAAGGAGATCTGGCAAATTCTAAAACCCAAAGGAAAGTCAATTTGGAATTTAGGGAGTGTGGAGTGAAGGGAAAGAGAGCCTAATATAAAAGTTAAGCAAAAGTCCATTAGGTTGGGATTATGTAGGCACTGACATTTTATCCAGTGTGATAAGGAGTCATTTTATAGTTTTAATGACTATAGACACTATTGGATTTTTATTTTTCTTCTTTTAATTGCTTTTATTTTTTAAATACATGACAGTGGAATGCATCACCATCTTATTGCACATATAGAACACAATTTTTCATATCTTTCTTTGTATATAAAGTATGTTTGGATTTTTATTTTTAAAAGATTCCTCTAGCTGCCCTAGTGGAGAATCAACTGGAGGCAATATTATAGTCTCAGTTGTCACAGATGGTCCCCTTTCCATACACACAAAAATGCTCAGTAATACATGCTTTATTTAAGTAAAAAATAAATGACTGGACTTAAACGAAAGCATAAGAGATGAGAAAGAGGGGTCCTAGGTATTATAGGTCCCCAATATTGGGACTCCCACACATATTTGAAGACAAAATTTGAAGAACTGGAAAAAAAATAGAGCATTTGAGAATTAGGAAAATTCGGCCTAATACTCTGGAAAAGTAGTAGGAAAGTCTGTCTGTGACTTAAAAAAAACCTTGGACAGCATGCTGCCCACATCCGACCTGTTCCCCTCACCGTATACACCAGCCCACCAGTGCCCACCATTCTAGCAGCTGGAAGGAAGATGGGGCCTGCAAAGGCTTTGATGGCTACATGAAGAAACCAGGAATGGGACTGACTAAGCAGAAAACAGGCACAAAGGCCAAACCCGATTGTGTCATCACCTTTGAAGGCCGAAGATCAACATAAAAACTGAAAGCACTTTGAAAACAACAGTTTTCTTATACCCTGGGAGAGAAGCTTGAAGAAACGACAGCTGATGGCAGAAAAACTCAGATGGTCTGTAGCTTTGTCGATAGGTGGTTCAGCATCAGGAATGGGCAGGAAAGCGCAGTAACAAGACAATTTAAAGATGTGAAGTTAGTGGTGGAGTGTGCCATGAGTAATGTCATCTGTAGGTGGGTTATGAGAAAGTAGAATAAAAATTCCATCACCACTTTGGACAGGAATTAGCTGCAAGAATGAAGAGGCTCAGTTCAATGAACAAATCTCCAGACTGCTTTTTTTATTATTATTATTATTACTACATTCAATTTCTCTATCACAAACATTTTACAGGGAACTATTTAAAAGTGTTGGTTTAACTAAGACCATCCCTTTGGTTAGTAAATAAATGTGTTTGTGCTAATACAAAAAACAAACAAAAACCCTGACACCTGAAGCCTGTATATTTGAAGGTAGGATCCAAATTTATACTGTAAGCTGAAAAAAAACTATCTTAAATCTAGTTTAACACAATCGAGTCATCTATGGCCCAGCAAAAGCAAATGTAGAGACACTCTTTCCACCCGGGTACAGAAAACTCCCACAGAATATTCTTTGAAGATAAGCCCCCACTAAAATATTATATATAAATTGAAAAAACCAGTCACCATGAGGGAGAGCCAACAGAAACAACAAACATGAGATTTAGAACATTGCAACTGGAAATCATAATTTTATACAGATGGATTTTACTATCTTTTACTATATCTTGCTCATGCTTCAGTTCTCCTTCAGGGCCAATGCAAAACCTTTTAAAATACCACAATTACCATCTCTATTAAGATTATGGATAACTTGAAATTCATCCAGAGCGAACCAAAGAAAATTTATGTATAAAGTTCAACATGAGCTCACAAGTTAGTTTAACATTGTTGTTAGATGAACTAGATGGCTGATGTCAGCAAATGGGAAACGGAATTAACTGCTAGAATGCCACTGATTCCCATTTACTATTCTGGAGCTAATCTATGCCTTTAATGTACTGTATTTCCTCTATATTCAAAAACTGGATGAAACTGTACGCTCCATTCCTTCTGGATGGCATTTTACTTTTTCAATGTATTTAAAAATGAATCCACATTTAAAATAAGCGTCTTTGGCAACTCCCCCAAAAGACTATAGAGACCCCAAACGTCTTTCCCCTTCTGATCAATCTTCTAACCCTGAAGTACTCATTCCACTTTTTCCTCTGGGTGTGATGTCCTATTGTCCACCTGCTCCTCTATTTCAATTTTTCAAAACACACTGTTAACATACTAAACCCAAAGTAACACCTCGGACTTTCAAAGATGAGCCCAGATAAGGTTTTGTTCTTTCTTTCTTAGATACAAAACAGCCAAGAGAGAAATCTAAAACTAGAACAACTCAGCTCCCTGAACTCGCCCTGACCTACGAGTACCACGACGACACGCGCATCTTTCCACCTCCTAAACGCCCCCAGAGTTGGGGACAGGAGGCCCGGGGGGGTGGGGTGGCGTTTAAGACAGAACTCGAGCCGGGCCGCAGAGGACGCTCGGGAAGTGTCGCCCGGCGGCCCCCCCTCGGCCGTGCGCTGGGAGGACTGACGGCCAGAGCTGCAGCCTGCGGGGCCACCTGCCCACCCTCCGGGAAAGGCCTCGGCAGCGCGTCCTCAGCGGGGAGCCGCCGCGGCCCGCCCCCATTAACGGCCTAGTCAGAGTCCTCCGGCCGGTCTCCCTGCCGCCCCTTTCCCCTCTCCACTTCGGCGCTCCCCCTCATCTCTTGAGTGCTGCAGAGAGCGCAGCAGCGGGGCGCAACCGACCATGCCCCGCAGCCGGCCCAGCAACGCCGGACGCAGCCTCCGGAGGACCCGGACACCAACCGTGGAGGGACCCCGTGCCCAGAGCGCGGCGCGCTGATTGGCTGGCCACTCGCGGCCGCGGCGGAACCCGGATGTGCCGGGGCCGCCGAGCTGGCAGTCCGGGCTTTGCGAGTCGGGCGCGCTCGGGGTGCCGGCGGCCGGGGCCCATGGCGCGAGACTGGGCGGGCTTCTCCGAGGAGGAGCTGAGGAGACTGAAGCAGAATAAAGGTAACGCGGTGGGCGTGCGGAGTTCTGCTCCCCGGGCCTGTGGCGGCGAAGGGCGGGGCTGCGGCTCCCGGGAGAGAAGGGGGCGTGGAGCCGGGAGCGTGGGCCGCGCTGCGCGGCCTTGACCCGGAGGCTCTGCGGGGGGCGCTGGAAGGCGGCTGGGGCCAGCTGGCGCCGCCGCTCTCCGGAGCCGGGTCCGAACGACCGACTGCGGCCTGGGAGCGGAGGCGAGCCCGCAGTCTGGCTGCCTCCGGTAGGGAGCGGGGGTCCGCGGAGAGGAAGGTGGGGGGCACCTGCACACGATTGGCCGGGCGCGTTCACGCCGACGGCGGCGCGGGGAGAAGGGGACCCTGACCCTGACCCTGACCCTGACCCTGACTCTGACTCTGACCCTAGAGCCCGACAGGTGCCAGAGCCCGGGTTCCTGTGAGAGTAGTCTGCAGGATGGCCTGCGCTTCGGGTGCCAGGGGGTCTCGCACTTTCCAGTTCTTGACAGCAATCGGAAGGGGTTTTGAGAAGTTAGATGTGAAGCCCTGTGTGTGTGTGTGTGTGTGTGTGTGTGTGTGAGTGTGTGTGTGCACGCGCGCGTTTACCTTCACACAGAAATTTGTGTCTATTCACACACGTAACCATACCAACTCGGGTCAGCTAGAATCGTGTACTTCTCCCTCCGGCTTGGCTTTATGAGTAAGCATATTATTTTTAAATGTATTTTGATGAAGGAATTAAGCTTCCAGTGACTTGGTGGGGAACTCTTAGTGATGTAAACTGTGCTTTGCTTGTGATTGAATTTTCATAAAGGTCTGTATAGTGATCCTGGTAGTGCACACCACTTTTGTGAGAAGTTCGGGCCACTCTTGGTACCATAATTTATTTGGGGAGCAGTTAAATAAGTCTTGCTAAGCCCTTTATTAGTTTGTGGGAAAATTGGATGTGACTCAATAGCCTGTACACTTTAAGCAAAGATGTGAGAATAATCCAGGACTGACGAATGCAAAAGGAAGTAAATTAATAAGATAAGGATAATGTAGGTTATATAAATCGGGAAATTTTGACTGTTCCAGAGGCCTTTAAAAACTGTAGCAGAAAAGTTGTGCCACAGTGAGTGGTTAACTGACTCTATCTAGCTTGATGTACTCAAATTATTTCATCATCCAGTCACATATGGATGTGTTTTCAACGGGCAGTCACATATCCAGATGTAGAGTACAAGTACCCATGCTTCTGGTCTGAATTCCAAGTTCCAAGTATCACTTTTTGCACTAGAGATGCAAAAATAAGCAAAGCATCCCATTCCTGCCTTCAAAGAGCTTATAGCCTAATGAGAAAGACCATAAAACTATTCGAATGTAGATTTTGTCCAAAAGTTGGCTGTGGTACTAGGGATTGGGTGGAGTTTGGGAATCTTTCACAGAGATTAATGTGTTAGCAGAGGTGAATTTCCCAGGGCAAAGAACATTTAATTAATGTAGGAGCCCTAATTAAACAAAACAGTTGTTAACTGAAACTATACTTTGAATTATCACTGTGCTTTGGGATTGGTATAAGGTGGTAAAGACCTAAATTTCAAGGTCCATGATACGGTAGTGAAATGTGAGGGCATAGACCCCAGGTCACTACTCTATAACTACCTTGAGGACAAAGATGCTAACTTTGTATACCCATGCACAAACATGATGATTGGCATAACGACCCCAGGACTGCCTCTTAAGTCCTTTCGCCTTGTATTTCTCATTTGTAAAACTCTAAGAATTGGATCTTTAATGTTAAGGGCCCTCCCAGCTGTTCTCCAGCCTTAAAAATATAATTAAACAATCTAGGAATATGGAATTGGTCGATAGCAAAAGTGAGGACAATATACCCTAGAAATGCCTGAATGTACATTGAGGAACTTGGTCATTATTCTTATTTATAATATTAAAGAGTTAAAAGCAACTGAAGTATTCATTAACGGGGGAAGAGATAAATAAGTTGTGCTCTAATTAAAAGATAATTTCAAAGATATAAGCATTTGAAAAGTGAAGAGAAGGAGCAAGTTGGAGGCATATATATATATAAAATATGATAATTTTTATAAAATCAAAATCACTTAAAACAGATATATTCCTTTAGGAATACAGAAAGTCAAAGAAATACCAAGTTCAAGTTGGTGGGGATGCAAGAGAAGGAATGTGATTAGGAAGGACTGAATACCCAGGGAATTTCAAAGGTATAGTAATTGTGCAATCTGTGTAAGTCAAGTTAAGCTGACATAACAAGTAACCTTAAAATAATAAAAATTTATTTTTCACTCCAGTATTATGTCTAACATAGGTTGCCAGGTGACTCTGCTACATGTAGTCATTCCACACCATCATTTGGTGTTGTCATAAAGGAGTTCACAATGGCAGGAGGAAAAGAAGATGGAAAAGTGAACACTGGCAGTTAAATGCTTTCACCAGTGAATGACATGTGTTATTCCTACTTACATTTCATTTAATAAACTAAGTTATATGATTTGGGTCATAGGAAATAGTTTTCTTGTGTGTTCCAGAAGAGAAGGAATATGTCTATCCTTGAAGAGTTGTGATTTTTTATTTTGTTTGTGGTACTGAGAATTGAGGCCAGGAGTACTTGACTACTGAGTTGTACCTCCAGCCCCTTTTATTTTTTATTTTGAGATAGGGTCTCGCTAAATTGCCCAGGCTGACCTCAAACTTGTGATCCTCCTGCCTCAACCTTCTAGGTAATTAGAATTAAAGGTGTGTGCTACCATACCCTGCATAGTGCTTCTGTCTTTGAAATTATCTTTTAACATACCTTGTTTAATTCTTCCGTTAACTCCATGAGTTAAATAAAGCAAATAATTTTCAATTGATTGACAGATGAAGAAACTGAGATATTGAATGATAAAATGGTTTGCCTGACAGAGCTGGTCTGTAAGCAAAACTGGGCTGTGACTTCAGAACTTTTAATTCCTCTTTGGGAAACTTAAATAACAGGAGTGTGTTGCTTCAAAAGCCAGTATGTAGAATTTAAAAGACCTACTTGAGTTGTTCATTTATAAGGACTCATACTTTCATTTTCCAAGCATTTTCTTGAAAATATTATATAGATCTTATTAAATATAGTATGAATGTAAGTCATATTCTCCATTTGTCTGCCCTAAGAGGTTAAGATTGGCATAGACAGTCCAAAAAATATAATAGAAATATTATTCAGTTTATGCTTAGAAAAAAAATTCCTCCAATTATTTTATATTTCTCTACTGCTTTGTTAAAGCTACTATTAAAATTAGTTTGAATGCATTAATTAGAGCCTGGCTAGACTTTGGGAGATACAACCTTCAGTTGTTTTGCAAGATAAAATAAAACAATAGAATTTATTATTAATTTCTAATTCCTAGAATTATGAGACTTTAGTCAATTATATTTATTAAAAGTGTCCACCTGTGTATAAAATTGCCCCTAAACCTGTTAGAAAAATAAAGAAGGGAATCTGTTTGCAAACTGATGACCAATTTATTTCAGGAGAACAGAGAGAACCATAAATCAGAGTCAGGACAAGACAGAGAATTTATTTGTTTACCTAGATCAGAATTCTTATAGGCAGATATCAAATCAGATTTAAAAAGAAAAGCAGTGATAACCATGAAATCATGAAAAACTGTGTAATTTGACTAATATATTTAAAAATAAATATAAAATCATTAAAATAAAAAAATTTGCATCCAGGCAACAAAAAAAAAAAAAAGAAAAGAAAACTTGCTTTGTGTTCCAAGGCCCACTCTCAAACAAATGGATTTTCTGTTAAGATAAATTGAGAGCTGGGTTTTTGTTAAATATCAGCAATATGGTGTTTGAACTATTGAACTTTACAGAAAAATGGCTGACTTTCTGGGCTTGGAGAATCAGGTAGAAGGATCTCTAGAATTTTTGTTAAAGTTTAATATCAGTGTTTTATTTTCTTAAAGAAATTATAATTATTCTTTGCTCACACAAGTTAATTTTTTTTCATCCCCCTTTACATAGATCCATTTGAACCACAGCGCCGTCTCCCTGGGAAGAAAACTCGACAACAATTTCAGCGAGAAAAAGCCCTTCTAGAGCTAAGCCAGAGACTCGGACTTCAAGATGGATCAGCCTCGTTACCTCCAGAGCAGCTGCTTTCTGCACCAAAACAGAGACTTAACACTCAAGAACCACATTCTTCTTCCCCTACTCTTCCTAGTCCTCTTACACTCTCCTCTCCTGTTGGTGATGGAAAACCACAGGGTATTAAAAGTCAATCAAGGGAACCAGGACTTGAGAATTCCCATGATGGTCACAAAAATATTGAGGTCCTACCTCCAAAGCCTGATTGCAAATTGGAGAAAAAGAAAGTGGAATTGTTAGTAAGTCTATGAGACTTCTCATTTTACTTCCCCCTCCCACTTTGTAATTTGAGGAAAGTTGGTTGGTTGGTTGGTTGGTTTTAACATTTTCTCTGTCTTATATTCAAGCCTTGAAATGTTATCAGGAAGCTTGGAAAAGTAGCTACCAGCTAAACATAGTATGAGCGAATTATTTTTAGGCATTTTCTTTTATATCATTCAGTCTTCAGGCTAGCCCTACAATGTATGTTTATTATTTTCACTTTATCTGGTACTCAGAACAGGTGTCCTCTTCCTAAAGCCAATAAACAGCTAGTAATAGAGTTCAGATACACAAATATGTCTATATCCAAAGTCTGTGACCTTTATACTCACCAAAAGTAGTTCTTGTGGGTATTGTACCACTTCCCAAGTTGAACTCACTTTTCACTTTCTAGATGACATCTCCATTGTTTCAGAAAGGAGTATTTATGAAGAGACATGAAGAGGTGGGCCAGTGAGAGAGTGTAGGAAACTGAGGGACTAATTATATAATTCAATTGCACCACTAGATTTCTTTTCCTTATTTACTTAATGTGGTTGTACTAGAAACAACATACATAATTTGTGGAAATTGCCATTCTGTGTCTTGTGAATTCATTAAATAGCAATAAGGGAAAAATGATGACTTTTGTTGTAGTTTTTTTTTTTTCCAAAATATTTTGTGTGTTTTTCTAATCCCTGGTGATCCAGATTTTATACGTGAGTTTAAATGTTTAATGCCCATCAGGGATTTATAACTAAGAATTTAGGCAAGAGATATAAGATCACATGGATTATGAAACCAACATTGAAAGAGTGTTTAGTTTACCAACAAAAGCCTGAAATAATTGGGGGTGGGGGGTGTAAGTTTAAATTAAGCTGGACAATTTAGATTGGGTGTTATTAGGAAAATTATTCTATTTTTAAAAACACTGAATATATTCATATTTTTAAAGAAGACAAGTAATCTGAGGAGCCATTAGTGAAAAGGAAAAATTCGGAGGTTATAAGCAGGGGAAAGGAAAGCTGTATCCTGTAGAATGCTCTAAAGTGACTTCTCACTTCTTTGAGAAAGGAAAAGGATAAGCCAGAGAATTGTGTAGAAATAAAGAATTACAGAAGGGCTTGGAAAGAGAGGCAGCATGGGGCTGGGGATGTGGTTCAAGCGGTAGCGTGCTCACCTGGCATGTGCGGCCTGGGTTTGATCCTCAGCACCACATACAAATAAAGATGTTGTGTCCGCCGAAAACTAAAAAATAAATATTAAAAATTCTCTCTCTCTCTCCCTCTTAAAAAAAAATGAGAGAGAGAGGCAGCATGTCTAGTGAGTTTGCTGACACAGCCTTGTTCTAAGGCCTCAGAGGGAGAAATGATCTGATCAAAGTTATGATTAGAGAAATACTGGGTGTTATTGCATTTGCAGACCATTTGGGGGACAGTGCCAGGTGAGCTGGAACTAGGCACCTGATGAGGAGATCTATGGTAGAGAAAATGTGGGATGACCCGTGCCAGCACTAAGGCAGAGCTGGAGGGATGAAGTGAAGAGGTACCCATTTGGAAGTGGTGACCAGGTTTGCAAGTAGAGAATTTGGAAGTAATGGTGGTAAGAGATGACAATAATTGGAATAAATAGGTTTGCTGTTGTTTAATTTGATTTGACATCAAATTCATGACTTTATGGTAAATTTTAATATATTTCTTTCAGAATTGATCTGTTTGGAAGACAATACATATTTTTGGATATTTGAAGACTTTTTTTAGCCCAATTCCATTTGGCTTTATATTACTCTATTTTAAAATGTTTAAAGAGTTGGAAAAAAGTGAGCAAATTGGAAGAAAATATGTGAAATAAACATTGGCTATTGTCTTAAGAATGTTAAACTGGTGGGAACTTTTCATTATAGAATATTCTAAAAGGTATGACATGACCTCAGCTACAGAATGATTTATTTGATCTCAATTTTGCATATAATACATAATTAACTTACACACATTTCTTTGTACTCTTTAAAAAAGTGCTACAGTATTCTGGCTTCCAGTTTGTGGGATCCTAGATTATATACATATAATGGATTTCAAAGGTCCAATTTATGTAACCCTTTTTACTTCCTTCAGATCATAGTCTTTGTTCCTTCTAGAGTAGAATAATGAGCTGCAGATGGGTTTCTTTTAAGAGGACTTTTGAAAGAATATATGTAATCTGCCTGATTAAATTTTATACATAGGAAACAGACTGGTGAGGTGTGGAATAGGGCAGAAGTCTCTTTCATAATCTTATCTTTATACCTTTTTTTTGCTCTTGCTCTCTAGGCAAGAAAAATCTCGTTGGGAAATCCTTCAACAAGAACAACGACTAATGGAAGAAAAAAATAAACGTAAGAAAGCTCTTTTGGCTAAAGCAATTGCAGAAAGGTGAGGCTCTTGAACCAGGAGAGCTTGTTTAACCTACTGTCAGTTTTGCTGTGTTTTATGTTTTCCCATGCCCATTCTAATAAACTGGCATTTTCTCTACAACCTTTACTTTTAATGATAGTTAAACAAGTTACATTTCATAAATGATATTGAAGTTCCAGTTCTAATTCATTAAGGGAGGCTTTTTAAGCATGTATCATAATGAATTTATAAATGCAGTAATATTAAAGCTAAGGACTAGCATCTGATTTCAGTTGTAACCATCTACACATTCATCAGGGAAGCAGTCAATAGCTATCAGTGTATGCAAAAGTGCAACGAAAGCAGGTTTTAATTTTGATGTGAAGAAACCTTAATTATCTGACCTGTATAGGAGAAAGGTTATTCTGCATAAGGACTTAACGCTGCAACCAATCTTAGTTGTGTTTCCTATGGATATTTCTCTTAATTTACCTTTTAATTTAGCCTTCTATTGTTGATGCAAGATAACCGTAATGAGCACTGCATGAGATTTTTCTAGCATCTCCCAATGTTAGTTTGTCAGTGGTCCCTTCTTAATTACTCTGCTAAGTTGGCTCACACCTGTAATCCTAGTGACTCTGGAGTCTGAGGCAGGAGGATTGCAGGTTGGAGGCCACCCTACACAATTTAGGGATACCTTGTCTCAAAATTAAATATTTTTTTAATAAAGGGGCTGAGGATGTATGTAGCTGAGTGGTAGAGCAGTTGTCTAGAATGCACAAAGCCCTGAATTTAGTCTCTAGTACTACAAAATAAAATAAAACAGATAAATAAAACACATAATTTGCTATACAGTACCAGCCTCAAATGGCAATGTTTTTAGTTACTAATTTCCTGTGGCCTTAGGAAATAAAGCAGGGGTTAAGAACATTGTGAACTTAATGCAAACAAGTATTCGATGGCATTTTCTTTTCAGACCTCTGAAAAAGTCTGACAAAACTATTATTACTTGAGGCTGGAATATATATAGATAGATAGATACAGGGGCCAGGGAAGAGGTGAAACAAAGCAGGTTGCATTTAAGGGTGATTCAGAACTTGATCAGCTAGAGGGATGTATGCATTTGAAAATGACATTTTTCTTCTGCTGGTGCACCTCCTTCTTTCATGAAGCATGGGAGATATGCAGCTCACTGACTTAAGTATGTTTCAAGAAAAAGAACAATGCGTGAAAGAGAAATGCCCTCTTTTTCCCCACAAGTGGTTATTTTCAAAAAGCATTGTCATAGGCTTCCATTTAGAAAAAGTGTAGAATGACTTCTCACTTCTCTGAGAAAGGAAAAGGATAAGCCAGAGAATTGTGTAGAAATAAAGAATTACAGAAGGGCTTGGAAAGAGAGGCAGGGGGTTGTGGATTTTTTTGGCAGGGGTTGTTTTCTGGGTACTGGGTTAAATTGCTGAGACTGGGCTTGAACTTGCTTGCTGTCCTTCTGCCTCTGCCTCCTGAGTGGCTGAGAGTACAGGGTGTACACTGCTGCATCTGGTGGGGAGACTGTTTACTGGGGCTTTTACAAGATTCACAGGCTCAGACTTCTCTCAGTATTTCTGATTTAAGATGGAGAACACTGATGCTGATAGAAATGTAAAGAATAATGCATCATGGTTGTATTGTTAATAAATGGATTATGAAGTATTTGATGTAAAAGTCATACTGGTTAAGTGAACTGTGGTGGGTAGAATGTAAGGATAAACGCATGGTGCAGTGGAATCGGGAATGTAAGTTGCCATGCAATAGTCTCATGTAGGGTTTTCTTCTACATTGAGAATGTGTGAGATTTTGAAATCAGTGAATCAGGATTAAAAGTTTGGGTTTGTATTTGCTACTCTGTTTCTAAAGTGTATGCCTGGGGTGGTGCAGGAACTGAGAGATGATGAAGTGGAACTTTTCAGTTTTGCAGATATTTCAGCAAAGTTAACACAGGTGCATTAAAATAGATTGGAAATTCATCTACAGCTTAAATTCTTTTATATATATTTTTATATAAATGTGAAATATTTTTAAATGCTCTAATTTTACCTGTTTTCTCAAAAGAATAAAACTCTTAAAAACATAATTTTTATTTTGAAATTACTATAAGTAGTATATTTGTTGCTCAGTTAAGATTTTATAGTTATCCCACATCTGGGAAAATAAAACTAGTGAGGTAGACAAGGAAATAAAAGAGTATTTTGGTTTTGAGCCCCACAAATAATTTTGAGGACCTGTAATTAAACCTAGAGAACAAAAAAATCAAAGCAAGAAAAGTAGAGAAATGGGGCTTACGACAGTTAAAAACAAATAAATGTTTTCAGACTTTTAAAGAAAAGTTTAATAGAGGCATATATTCTTCATGTCAGGTAAGACTCAAATGGAAATGGGCTTAATAAGTAGAGGAATTTAATATTAGAATTTTAAAAAGCTGTGTTGGATGCTTCAATTAAAGGGAATACAGATCTGTTCTTTTATATATTTTTGTTTTTCCTTGTTTATGAAGTAGCATGTGCTTATAGAAAATTTGGAAGAATAAGCAGAAAAAAACAAATGTGGTTTAGAGATAATATGAAAATATTAATAATATTTATTTAAATTCTGACTTTTTTCAATTTAAAAAATCATAACTATAATTATATATTCAGTATTTTGTTTTTTCCTTACATTATGTATGGATACATCTTTTTAAAACTTTTTTTTACCCACTCATGTTCCTGATTTTCTAGATCTAAAAGAACTCAGGCAGAGACCATGAAATTAAAGCGGATCCAGAAGGAGTTACAGGCTTTGGATGACATGGTGTCTGCTGACATTGGAATCCTCAGGAACCGGATTGATCAGGCCAGCCTGGACTATTCATATGCACAGTGAGTGAGGGAATCTGAACCTTGATCTAGGGTTCTGGTATAGTTCGTGTTTATCACTAGCCAGGCCCATAGCTCTTAAGCATATCATCATTTAAGTCTCTTTTCAACCCTAGTAAGTAATGTTTGTTCTCTTTTGTGCTAATTGAGTGTGTCTTCTTCTGTGACATCTTCCTGTCTTCTGCTTTACCAGCTTACCTTGTTGTGTCCCTGTTAGAGAGTTTCCTGTATTTTTCTTTGCATTTAGTTTTTCTTTTATACCTCCAACTATTTAATGTTTGGGACCCTTGTTAATCTTTTAGGATCTAGCAAAGTAAACATCTGAATGGCTTGTTCCCAAACTGTTAACTCTGTAACACCAAATCTGTGTTCTTTGCCATTAAGATTTGTGATCATTTGATAATGGCCTTTGTGGGGTTACTGCCTGATTCTCTTAGTTTTCTTCAAAGCCAGAAGATCTAGTTTATTTCTTATAAGCTTGTGACTATTTTAAGAAAATACCATTCTTTCTTAGAATCTTTAAAGTTCATTTCTTATTTTTTAAAATTATATGTACAAAATGGTTTGATTATTTTGTTTCCTTGGCTTCAACTATTGGCATTTTTATAAAGAGGCAAAAATCATCATGGAGTATTTTTAAAATGAACTAACACATGTAAAGAATTACATGGACTTTGCAAACAGATAAAAGGGCAAAAAAAAAAAAAAAGTCCAATTTCAGGGTTTTTCAGTCTCTTCAACATTTCTTTAATCATCCTGGTTTGTCTTTTCTCACAAGGGAATGCTGTGTTAATGACTTGGTTCTGCATTTTCTCTGTAACACTAGAAATCAATCGGAATGCCTCATTAGTCCAGGGTAAACCACAACATCAGAATGTTTATGTAACAATTTAATAAAGTGGAAATGCTTGATTATGGTTTTTAATTCACTGTTTAGTGTTTAAGAAAGAGGTTTGTGGTTGTCCTTGTGATTTTGTAATTGTTATTTGACCATATGCTATTAGACATAATGGTTAGCCTTTATTAACTAATAGCTTAAATTAATGCCATCAGTAGCTGATAAGCAGAGGTTCCAGATTCCTATTAATAAGGCCATTGAGGAAGTAACCAGGATTTTAAGATTAAACTAAGCCTTGATTTTTAGCATCTTTTATTCTCTGTAATATGTTTGCCAGAGAACCTTTTTTATGCCTTTTCAGCCTTTTATCTGAATAATTCATAGTATAAGGTCCATTGCTGAGTATCTCAACAAAAACTAATTCTGTCCTACTGGTGAATGGAGAAGGACACCTTTTCATACCGAATAGTATATAAGAAACGTCAGTTTTGACCTTCAGAGAACCATAGTGACAGTAGAATTACTAGTTAAAGGAGAAAACATCCCATAATATATAAATATCCTTAATGAACTTTTAATGTATTTTTACATCTCTAATGAGCTAAAGATATCAGTTCCTCGTGGTGTTGATGTGGCGGTGTGTTAATGGATGCAGTGTGAAACTGTTCTTCAAAGCCTCAGCTCTTGGTGAAGTCAGAGAAAAGCATCAGAAAACTGCGACTGGATTCAGGGTTGGTTGTTACTGATGATATTATGCAGTGTTTTGTAAGTTTGCATTTGTGGTTACAGGGAAGTTATAGGTTGGTACTATAAGATAATGGTCCAGATTTCTACTGGAAGGTAATCCTCAGGTTGTTGATTTCTGTGGGAGATTTCCTTAACTTTTTTTTTTAATAAAAATGATATCTTAAATTTTCTAGTCCTGAATCAGTGCTATGTCCTCAAAGGTTCTCAGTAAATAAGCCAGAATTTGCTTTAAAATTGACTAGTGTGAAGCAACCTTAGGATACCTCACCTCTGAGAAGACCAGCACTTTGCCACGGACCTGAGAGCTGCTGTTGCTGCTGTGCACAGCTGTGGGGCAGGGCTGCCCCAGTGCCATGCAGACCACCTAGAACATGGAGCCGACGGCATCCAGAGTGTGTTGTTGAACCTGAGTGTACGATGATTACCCCTGTTGATCATCTAGGCTTAAAGGACACCCCTGTGTGTACACACATGCACACAAGAGGGAAATATTTTAAAATCATTTTATGAGTAATTCATAGAAGTCAGATAAAAAGGGATTGTAGAAGGCAACTTTATAAAAACGTGATTGTAGTAAACTTCTTTGTATCAAATAAAATTTGATTTACGAACTGAAAAGAGGAGAAAATTCTTTTCGTAGCACAGGACAACCCCAGGCTTGTAAAATATTGACAGTTCTTCCTGTTGAAGTTGTTAATTGTATGAGGATATCATGTTTCATTTTTGTCCTTAAAACTATGTTTTTCTTTCGTGGATTCTTGAGTTTGAGGAAATTCACGCAGGATGGGTTTTTCTAAAGACTCATAGTTTGAGATCTCACTTAAATATCAGTTTTACTACGTCCACTCTAAAGAGTGTGTCTGCATTTGTGTTAGTTTCTTAGGACTGTCATAGCAAATTACCACAGACTGTAGGGCTTAAAACATGAGATGCTTCTTCCTGTGCTTTCTTGGAGTCTGGACACTTGCAGACAAGGTGGTGGCCGGCCAAGTTTCCTCAGAGCACTGTGCTCCTTCCTTCCTTCCTGTGCCAACTTCTGGTGGCTTCAGATGTTTCTTGTCCATGGCCACGCTACTCCGTTCTGTGCCTCTAGGATCACATTGCTTCTTCCTCTCTCTCAAAACTTCTCTACTTTCTCATTTCAAAGGATACCTGTGATTGCTTTTAAAGCCCAACTGGACAATTTCAAGATTAACTACTCCCCAAATACTTAACTTGATCACATCTTTTCTCCTATAAGGTAATTTTTGTATGAGGTAACATTCAAAAGTTCCATGGATTAGGAGGTGTTTTGATGGTAAGCTGTGTTAGCCCACCACAATATTCATCTTTTGATTTGTCTAATAGCAAAATGTTTTCTTCTGTCAAATGTCTGTTTGCCAACATGCATAGAAAATGAGGAACTATTAACTCTCAACTGTCTTCAATGAAAACTAAGAGCAGTATGTAAAGATGGTGTTTCCAGTCTTCTCTTACACCTTTTTGAGGTGACATAGTACTTTGAACAACACAATTAGAAAATCAAGCAGTGATAAATTTATTTCATTATTGCATCGTCTTTTTAGATCATTCCACCATTCTCGTTTTCTCATTGTTTACTTTTTAACATAAATGGGAATAATCAGTAAGTAATGATGAAACAATTCCTAGGGTGATGAGATGGAAGAATGTGTCAAGATATAGGAAAAATGTATCTTTAATTTCATGATGCACCTTAAGTGAGTGGAGTGTGATAGGAAAGCTCTATCAAATTACAATTCATTTTAATCTATTTTTTTAAGTGAATTTTCTTTGTTTTTTTAAATACTTTCTAAAAGTCCTGGGTTAATGCATACAAAGAGTTAAAACTTCTCAAAACAGAAACTGAGAAAATAAAAGTGTATAGTGAAACCTAAATATACCAAGGGTTAATAATTTCTTTAAAAATTTCAGAGAAACCAAAACCGAAGGACAGTTTCTGGAATCCTTTAAATAACATTTATTAAATCTCTCAATATCCCTTTAAAATAACAATTCTATAATTACATTTCCAGTGCAGTATGTCTTACTGTGTTGTGTATAATGCTCTTATTATTTTATTCCAAAGTATGGCATCATACTCTGATTTGATCTTATTCACCTGACCCTCAGGCTGGTAGTGTAGTTTGTGAAACTAATCAATATTCTGAATATAAATCATTCTGTACAAGAATATATATGCATGTCTCTGAGTAGGAGGACTTCAAATATATATTAAAAAAATACAAAATGTTTAGTGATTTATCTTCCAGTGAAAGATTACTGGAAGCCTAGGGACCTATTTGCAAATGTTAATTTCAATTCAGTATTCATGAACCCAGTCTGTAAATCTCTGCTAACTGACTTAGGCTGAGGGAGACCACAGACTCAGAGAAGGGAAGTTTGAGTGGGAGAAAGGGCAGTTCTCTATGGAGAATGTTGTCAGGGCTGGCTCTTGCCTTGATGACATTTATAAACAGGATATGTTATAAAATATGGAAATAAGGGACCCAGGTGTTCAACAGAGCTCCTTTAGAATAGTTCTTTTAACTCATGGGGTACTGAAACACAAATGATTCTCTCATGTTTTAATAGTAAAAAAAAAAAAAGAAATATGATAAGTGAACATTATATAAATAAGAATTTAAAGTGTAAATACTGGGTTCCTAAATTTTCCACAATCTTAATTTTAGATACATGTTTACTAGTACAATAATGATGCTTTTCAATTCTGGTGCTGTGAAGGAGGCTCTGTTTCTTGGGCACTGGGCTAGATGCTTGGCCTATTTGTGCTATTGAATTTTCAATCATTCCTGTGAGATACTTCATTCCATCACTGCTCTGCAGATAGACCAGGATTCACCAGGGAACTGCCCAGAGTCGCTGTGCTGGAGCTGTCAGTCCCTATGTGCCTCCTGCCCAGCCCCTTCCACAGGAATCTGACTGCTTTTCACTGCAGATGCTGAGCTTGGAGCTCCTCTGATTAGAACAAAGATGGGCTGCTGGCTCCAACATATTAATCCATAGGCCAGACAGTGGCTCGTGGCCATGAACGTTAAGAACTCTAAACTGAGATGAATGAGGCCAACCCAGGTTCTCCTGGCATTTACAGAACAGGATCACCGACAGATTGAGTGGAGTGTGATAGGAGAGCTCTAGTGAGAGAAATGGTGTGGCTTCTAAGCTCTGAGGAGAGTAAGAAGCCTTTGATTCTTAGGATTTGCTTGTGAAATTGCCTCTTGTATTCTACAATAAAATTCATTTTCCCCCCCCATATTAGTTTGGATAACTATTCTTTGTTTCCAAAGACCAAAGCAAGTGACACACAGTCAGTGGCAGAAGAAAGTTTCAAACCCTGGATTTCTAAAATCAAAGCCTTTATGATTCTCACTATATGTCCTTCCAAGACAGAGAATCGTACACTAGGAGACATAACTGGTTTTTGCTATGACTCTTTCACTAAAAAATACTCCTTACATTGAGTTAATGTAAGTGGGCAGCCATGACTGGAAAGCCAAAATGGTCTTCACTAGTGCTAGTGGCAGTTATTTGAAGAACTAGTTGGGAATCAATCTCTTTTTTTCGAAGAGAGGAGGAAACCTCTTTCCTTATTGTAAAAAGAAGAGTAATATATTTTATACGTTATGTAGAGAAAGCAAAAGACAGTGAACAAAGATGTGACTTTTCTTTTTTACCGTTGTGTTGCAAAAAAAAAAAAAAAAAGACTATTTCAGGGTGACTGGCTTCCCTGCTTGAACTACCCTACCTCGTGTAAGACTGGCACTGCCCATCTGTAGGGTGTACATAAGTGTGAATGCCAAAGAGTGTGATAGTAGTCTTCCTGCCAAGTGAGGAGAGAGAACAGCTCAACCCAGGGATTCTTCCCTGGGGACAGTCTTGCCCTTTACCAGATGCTCAGCAGTGTTTGGAGACAGTCCTGGTTGTCCTAAGCAGTGAGTGGTACTGGCAGCTAGTGAGTGGAGCATCCCAAAGTATACAGGGTGGCTTTTCACAATGAAGACTTAAAAATGGCCAATAGTGCCAAGTGTGAGAGATCCTGCTTAAACCTGCCTTGTTTTCTTTTCTACCGGTTTTTTTCTTCTTGCCCTCACCTAGTATTTTGTTGGGTGCACTCTGTATTACATATGTTTACCTCCCAACCACCATCCATATCCTCCATCAAATTGTTTTCTACCTTTTATAATTCATTAATTAAGAGATACAGATTTTCTGCTTTCTCCAACTCTTGTTTTATTTCTTATAAATTATAACCAGTTCTGTGCTGGAGCTAGCTTGTGCTAGTTCATAAGAGCAGATTTTGTTCATCTCTTCCCAAATCCATATTTAGTGATATCACATTGGTAGCTTAAAATTGGCGGGAGTGGTAGATACATACTGGCAAAGCTACAAGTCAGAGCTCTCCACCTCCCCCACCCCCACAGACACATTTCAGAGCTTGCACACCACTGAATTAACAGTCTAAGCCTGCCCTCATTCAAGCACAGCTTCGGAAAGAAGAAGAGAGCACAGAAGGGTGTTGTTAAAGAATGTTGTGAAAGTTTCTGCATCCATTCCTCAGTTCATCTAACATGTAGACAGGTATCTGTGAAGTGTTAATATCCATCTTCATCATACATGTCTTGCCCAATTTTGGAGTTTATTGTTTCTGGCCTTTTAAAAAAATATCTTCTTCAATGGAAAACTAATGGCTCAATCTTTGTCCCTGTCCTGACAGGAAGCGATTTGACAGGGCTGAAGCTGAGTATATTACAGCAAAGCTAGATCTGCAGCGAAAGACTGAGATAAAAGAGCAACTCACCGAGCACCTTTGTACAATCATACAGCAAAATGAGCTCCGGAAGGCCAAAAAGTTGGAGGAGCTGATGCAGCAGCTAGATGTGCAAGCTGATGAGGAGACCTTGGAACTTGAGGTGGAGGTGGAAAGACTGCTCCGGGAACAGGAAGCAGAAGCAGGGAAACGAGTGGCTTCTGGAGAAAGACCATGTCAGTCTGCTGAGGAGAGTGCGACATTACAGTTTGTAAAAGAGGACAGAAAACCACAAGAACAGTCTGCTTCCCTAGAGGTAGGCGAACAGTGTGGAAGTTCCAGCAGGATCCCCTGTGTGAGTCCAGACTGCCCCAACCAAGGAGTTAATGACATGTCAGCTGCTATGGCCAGTGGAAGTGCCAGTGTTCTTTTCAGCTAATATCATGTTCAGTGAAGTGTACTCTCTGTTGCAGATTACAGCCTGTCTCTAGAAAGAGCCTCTTTAAAACTTAGTTTTTGAATATGTGATTAGTTTTAAGTAGGTTAACATGTTTGGCTATTCTAGAGTTCCAAATGATGATAATTTTATATCAGGGGGCATTTTTTTTTAAATATTTTTCACTTGTCAATGAACCTTTCTTTTATTTATTTATATGTGGTGCTGAGAATTGAACTCAGTGCCTCACACATGTAGGCAAACACACTACCACTGAGCCACAAGGCCAGCTCCTCAAGGGACATATTTCACCCTATTTCAGTCCACTATTCTTTTAACCATTATTACTGGGTTAAAATAAGTGACTTAAAGGATGAAGAACATGAGACCCTTGGCTCGAGTTCCAGCACCACATAAAGAAGAAAAGGTGGAAGAAAAAATACATGGTTAGAGTAATTTTAGACCAAGCAAATACAGAAAGTAAAATAAAAATGACACTCACTACCTAATCCCACTTGTTTAACTTCTCCTGGGAGAAGTGTTGAAAATGGAAGTCTTGTTTTATGTAATCAATTAAAAGACACAAAAATTACTGTGTCGATAGAGGAAGATCAGGTTGAATTATATAAATGGATCTTACTAGAGTTGCAAAATACAACTTGGAAATAGTAGTTTATACACCAAACTACATAGTATATGGTATAGTATAGTTTATGCTATAATGTAGTAGTTTTATATAAAGAACCAAACAGCTTCAGGCAACATTACTTTTACTTTTAATTTGCCTTTAAATGGTTTTAGTTTACCATTTTAATATTTGTTTGTTGGTTTTGTTGGTTATTTTATATACGTGTGTGTATATAAAAATTCTTTGTATGTGTAACTTTATTTTTAATGTATGCTCTTTTTAAATGACAAATTGATCAGTTTAATTTAGAAAAACATTTCTAACATAAGGCTGAAAATAATACAGAAAATCTTATTGCTACTCCTGATTTTCAAAAAAAAATTGATATATTTTCTTTCTAAAGTTTCTTTAAATGTGTGTTTTGTATGTTGGACATAAATTATCCTGGCATAAATCATTTTATTACTTTAATATAGTTAGTTAATTAATACTTGACCACTACATTCATTGTGCTATATGTGAAGGTGGTGTATAAACATATTGTAGTTTCGTCCTGAAATCTGTGACTATTACGTTAAATGATGATCTATTTATCAGAAATTCCAGAAAATAAAAATAATTGAATTTTAAGTCTTTAAAAAAAGGAACTATTATAAAAAGATAAGAAAGAATATAATGTCATTTTTAAGTGGGTTTGATTGAGGATATGATCTTTTGGTAGTATGGATGATCTTTGTACTTGCATATAATTTAGTTAATAGTATAATTTTCATTACTGACCTCTCTCAATAGATGAATTTATATAGGAGTTGGTTTTATTTATGGATAACATACACAAAAATTGAAACTTCATTGCCCAAGACACTTTTATTTTTCTAAGGAATAAAGCAGTCTGATATATTTATAATGTGGCTTTTTATTTACCTAAAAACACAAGTTTCAAAGAGAGAACTGTTTGGGGAAGTGTGTGTCAGTTATGCATTTTGGATTTCCTTGAGGTAGGTAGATATAGTTATTCAATTTTGTATGAGAAAATTTATTAACAAATAAAGTTCTATAATATTGTTTAAATATGGCTATGTGCACTGTTAATTTTCAGGCTGACTACTTATAAGCTGAATGGAGAAGTGAGAATCATGAAAGAAATGAATCTGATCTTCTGATCATCTTATTTTACTATGAGGAATTTAAGGGCCAAAAGTTTGACGGTGGCTGATTGGCCAACTGGCTCATTTTAAAGTGCCAGTAAAGTTCTGTACTACTCATGTATTTATTACATACATCACCTGGTGATGTGCAGCACATCCTTCTGCTTGACAATCTTGCTTTATAACCCATTCAGGGTGTGTGTGGTGTGCGTGTGTGTGTGTGTAATGCTTTTCAAATATGACTATACAAAAAAAATTAAAAACGTTATCTTGCTTGGCTTTCCTGGGGTGGTATCTGAGTGTTCAGGTGATGATATAAGTGACAAAACTATATTGCATCAGTTTTATACAAAGGCAGCTGTATCCCATGTGTGGAAGGAACAGAGCAAATGAATGAGAGCTGGGGGCTCCTTGATAAGAGGACCATATGCACTGGCTTTCTCAGGATAATCCTGATATGTACATCTTTTAAAATACATTGGAAGACTTTGCTATATAGATTCACAAGTACACAGTAACTGGTAATTTCTGTAAAGGAAATTATTGGTCCAGAATTAATGCTGTGTGTTTATTGGGACACTTTGTAGAGCTGTCCTTCTTATGTTAAAACTTCTCAATTAGCTGAAGTAGAAGACAGAGTTCTGAGCTTTGTGATGAGTAATTGAGGAGCAAACTACTTTGGGGATCTCACTTGTGCTCTTTAAAAGTCTTTTCCAAATTGTAGTAGTTTTCACTTATTATCTTGAAGCAAATTTTATTTGGTTCAACTTGAATTTCAGAATATAGGGCTCTTAAACCTTGATTCACTACTTATTAAAATTAGTCATTTCAGAGAAGGCAAATGTTTGAAAACGTGGTTCTCATTGCAATGAAATAGTTTTTTTTTTCCTCAAAATTTTCACCTCTATATAATTATGCTGAATTCCAGCACTTGCAGGTGGTGGTCAATCTTTGTATCACTGAGGGTGTAGTGGTTTCCACGTCAGATGATAAAAATCTCTGATTGGAATTCCATGATCTTATTTTATTGCTGGATTGGCATTTGAATTACAGAGTACAGCTCAACTATAAATGTCTCATTCTTTGGAATTAGCAATATAGGCTTGAGGAGCTTACCTAAGAATTCAGCCACAACATCTTCTGTGGTGTTGGCACAAAACGGATTCTAGTTATTCTGGCCCAGGCCATTCCCATGACCTTTATAAATGATGTTTTGGGGTTTGTTTTTATAAGGAGCCAAGTAAGCATTTTTAAAAGGCTCTGATAGATATAACTCAGTCTGCCAGACAAGACCTGAGGCCACTCTGGACCCGGGTAATTATATCTCTTCTCAACATAGATCTACTCAGGACCTGACTTGAACTGCTCTCTGGAGGGATGAAGCAGAACACTATTCTCCAGTCTGCCTTCAATGTTAGGCTACTTTTGCAAGCTTCTAATATCAAACAGCTGTCTTAAAAATGCTGCAGTGTCATCTCTATACAGTTGATCAGACAACTTCGTGTAGCTACTTTACATGGTGGTGATGTTTAAGAGGTATGTGATCTGGCCTTTGTCCTTAAGCAGCTTATAGTCTAATTGAGGGAATAAGATTTAGACTCACAAAAGGCCAATGGAGGAAATGCTTTAATAATGGTAAGCGAAATAAGTGTTTGGAAAGCTAAATGTGGATATCCCTCCAGAACTCCCCAATTTTTCCAACACTCCTAATTTTAAATATTCTGTCTAGTTGTTTGGCAATATATGGAGGTGTCTATGACAGCCATATTTTTTAAGTTAACTTTTAGCACTGGGGAACAATATAAGTATAACCAAAATAAAACCAAAAAATTCATGATGGACAACATGTACAGAGTTTAAAAGTATAGTTACCAGAGCAAGAGTGAATTAGAAAAACAAAGTTATGTGCATGTTATCAATTTAAAATAGAGGACTCACTGGGATTCACCAATCCAAACCCTATCAAGTGTTGGGAAAAAAGTAGACCCTCCTGCAAAGAATTGATAGTACCTTATATGGAGATGAGCATAAAGCTCAGAACTCATGATTATTCCATGTGTTGTTGAACCAAGAAACCATAACTGCTGTCTAAGTCAGAACAGGTTAGAAATGGAACCATTTAAGTTCAAGGATAACTCAACATGGAGTCTTGTTCAAAGATCACACATGAGAGAGGGCTTTCCAAGTCCAATGACTCTAGAAGCCTAAAATAGAGACATAATTAAGCAGTGAGATGTGACAGGGATAATGTTTCTGAGTGGTTCTAGCATGCCTCAGATAAATCACTAGGCTAAAGATTTGTATGAGGAGTGAAATAATGACCTTGTAAGGTGTAGTGTCGCTGCTGTTTCAAGGAAGAGGAGATGAATAGTTAGGAGAATCATTTCATGGGTTTGTTCCATTGCTGGACAGTGCTGCTATGTGCAAGCACAGTGGCCAGTAGTGCTGTCTGTCCAGCATTTTGAAGCTGTATATTCATACCAGAGTTTTTGCTTAATTAAAAACTCCACAGAATTGGCCGTCTCATTTACTCAGCTAAGCAAAACTGGGGAACTACAGTTTGGTAGAATTTTGGTTAGTTGCTTAGACTTGGATTTTATAATTGAAAAATAGCTGAAGCAACCACATTTTCCATATGTTGGCTGATTTATTTCCCATGTTCCCCTTAGAAGTTATTATAAGACATGGCCTCAGTGTCGCATAGATTCAGAAACATCTTAAGTCTTTCTGTCTGATCTATCCCTTCCCTACCCTAGGCTGCTGGCAGAAGACAGTGGGGCTCCTCAAGCTAGTGACAGCTGAACCCCACGCTATGGTGGCAGGTCTTTAACCAAGATGAGAGCTGAGATTCCCAGTGGCCACAGGGTGGAGTGAGAAATACCCAAACTCTGAAGGAGGCGCTGAAAAGCCCTGCAGATAGAAGGAGGTGTCTTATTGCTGGATTCCTCTGAGTCTGATCGCTTCAGAAATTAGTTAAAAAATCTGGATAGAACTGAGGGCAAGGTTTTCATGGTCCTTAATCTTTCCCATGGAACAGGGAAGTCTTCATCCTGAACAGAAATCTGGGCAAACTGACTTCTACAGAACCTAGCCCCTCTTATGAAAAGATCTAAAGAAGAGTGTAGGGAAGTTCAGCTTTGAACATTATAGTGCATGAAATAAACTGGCAGTAGGCAGAGTAACAGGAAAAAGCAAAAATTTATTAACATGTCAAACACGGAAGATACTGTATGATTCAGAGGAGGTCAGATAATTGAAGCTTAGGTACTCTTCCTAGGGCAGAGGGGGTGGGGAAATTTTAGAGGTGTAGTAAATTCTGTTTAGGGGAGACAAATGGACCCAGAAGAACAAGCAATAGCTGGGACAAGGTTCTTTGTGGGCTCTAGGTGTGGTATACGACTTTCAGTTTTCCTCCCTGCAATGAGCCGACTTCTCTAGTCTGAAATTTCAG